CCGGGTGTGATATAAGTCGAAAAGTGGTTTATTTCAAGTAGAAACGGGTCCAGCCGACATCGGTTTGAATCACACCGAAAAATCGGCTTGAATCAAACCGAAAAATGGAGTGATTCACGCCGAAATTCTGCCTGTTTCAGGTAGTCTATATGCGACTTGATTCTAGTCGATTTTTTGGTTTGATTCAAGTCGATTTTTCGGTCTGATTCAGCCCGAGTCAAAATTTTGGGAGGTTGATCAAATGGGAGGTTGATCAAAATGGGAGGTTGATCAAATCGACAAATCGGTTTGAATCAAACCGAAAAATCTACCTGAATCAGACCGAAGTCGGTGTGAATCAAGTCGAAAAATTGACTTGAATCATCAGACCGATATTCTGGTTTGCATCTGTCCGAGTCCGACTTGATTCATGTCGTCAATTCGACATGAAACAAGTCGATTCCCGGCATGATTCAATTCGACTTGATTCAGACCGATTTTTCGGTCTGATTCAGTTCGACTTTTTTTTGAGTGCATAATAATTCTGTGCAAAATGTTATGTGAATGAGGCCGAATTCTCATTATTTTTTTCAAATTTTCTCTCGCAATTCAATTGACAAATTTGATGATTGAAAATGGTTGAATCTATAGTGTAGTCTGTATCAAACTGTAAAAGATACTTCGATATCCTTAAAATAAATGAAGTTCTGGTATGAATATGGCTTAAGCCCGCGAAAACTTCAGATACTGAATTTTTATCGGTCGAATTCCAGATGGGAAAATACTCTAATTGCATGTCCCTCGTACTTACGTCATTACGGCTGAATATTCTGCTTTTCAATTGAAACTGGGCTAATGTGTCTTCCACTATGGTTTCTGAAAAAAATCTCAAAGAGGATATTGTACAGGGGACTTTTTTTCGGTGGAAATTCTCACGAGGAACAATACTCCAGACACTGACACTTCAACATTTACATATTGTTAGGCCACGTTGAATTGATCAGTCAAAAAGCCTCACAGAATTCCAAGTTTGCACTAAAAATAAATCCACAATAAAATAATAACGAACCTATAAAATCCAAAAATTTGAATATCTTTATATTATATTTATATTTTTCATACGAACCAAAATGGCGGCAATAAATGCATATAAACAATTAAATTGTTAATAACTATTAAATGCCTAACTTATTCGCAAAAAAATTACATATTCGGTTTCAGCACATCAAAATACATAAAGTAGCCAACTTTCAAGACTTTAAATCGATTTTATACCTTTTGTCCTCCGCGTATCGACTATATGACCCTCAATGTAAGGTCAGAAATCCCCAAAATATTCACTAATAAAGCCAAGAGGGGTGGGAGTATAATGGGGAGCGGCCCGAATGGTCTCGACCTTTGGGAATTTCCTCATCGGCTTTGACATCTGGTCGACACGCGCGCCACCGGGGATATTCATAGTGGCCACTTCTCGTCCATTTCCTACTGCATATTATGGATGCAATAAGCCCCGACCCCTATCCTCCCACATGTTTTGCAGATACGGCATTTGCGGTCCCGAATTTCGGGACTTTCCCCGCTGGAAATTCCCCAACGATTGCAATTGCCCTTACTCCGACAGCTTGAATTAAGGATTAAGGGGGCACGTGTAGTTCAAAGTAGAAAAACAGCGCCACGTGTCACTGTTTTCCATTTTTTTCTTTCACTTCGGGGTTGAATGACTGTCACGTAAATATAGAATTGAGTGAGCAAAGATGCTCAGCTTGTGTTATGTTTGGTCTTCTTCAGGGGTGGAATGAAGAATACGTGTACGATGACGCATTAACGAGCTCTCTATTTGTGGAAAACCAAACGCGGATGTGAGTCCTTTGTACTGGAGGGAGGAGAAAGTGGAAAGAAAAATGGTTCATTCATGGAGGAAAAAAATAATGAATAAAGTTCTGGGAAGATTGTTTCTTGACGTCAATCGGATGTTTGTGGTGGTCACTGTGGGTGGTGTTTGCTGAATTTCATCCAATAGGAATACTTCATCAATCTGATTCTTCAGTATGAATTTTCCGTGTTAAATCCCGAAAATTTTTGTCATGTTTAATTTCCATTGAAATTTCAGGAAATATTATCAGTGAAAAATCAAATAATCCATTGATTTTCTGTTCCCATCATCTGAAAATCAATAAAATACTTGATTTTTCAGTTCAATTATACCATGAAAATTCGGAAAAACCAGGAAAATTCTGGGAAAAATTCACAATTTCTTTTATTTTGTTTCTGAATATTCCACGCCAAATGAGTCAACCGCTGACCTTTGCCCTCCTGGAAATTAATGGCGATTTCTTCTACTTTTGTGGGGGGGGGGGNGGGGGGGGTCGAAAAGCTATCTCTCAAATTTTTTCAGATTGTTTCGGCAGCCCAGTTTGTAGATATAATTTTTTTTACATTTGTCGGCTTTTTTCCAATGACGTGAGTTCTGTTTCTCCGATTTTGATTTATTAAGCGTTCAAATTTTCCATGTTTACCGCCTATACGCCTATTTCCAGTAATTTTTTTTTTCGATCCTTAGATCCTCATAATAACCAATATTCGAAAAAAAAAGTTGAAAAAGTTTAATTTCGCAAATTATATCACTTTTGATTTGTTTCATTTTTTCAGTAATTCTTATAATCAAAAGAAGTATTTTGAGCCATCATACAAGTTGGGGATCCTCCTGGATCTATTTTATTTTGAATTTTTTCTTTTCGAAATTCCGCAAATTTGGTCAAAACACCCCAAACGACTTCGATTGTGTATCAAAAAAATATGTACTATATAGGTATACATTTTTTCCTATTTATCTCTCACTTTGGAAAAAAAATGTACCATCAGCACCCCATAACAATTCCTGCACGATGAATTTTCGAAAGTTGAGTCTCATCACCATTTTCATTTCTCTTTTTTTTCTCTCTTTTTCTCACATCTAATTATCCTCCACATTGGACCACATGTACACAACTTCTGATAGAGATAATTTAATACTGTACAAAAGAAGTGTATTCTAAGCAGAAGGCCCTCGGACAATGGCCATTCGTAAGAATGTATGTTTCTTGCAATAAATAACGTTAAAGTTTTTGTTCAGTATATTTGATGATCTCGGCGTTTATTTTATGAGTATTGTTTAAAACATAATTGTAGTAGTTCGTAAATATTTTATCATTCCCATAATTTCTATGAGTGTAATCAACATATTGTAATAATTATTCTTTTACTTTAAAATAACTGTCTCCCTTCATTTATTAAAAAATATAATCCAAATAAATCTGCCGTAATAACATTAATCATCAATAAATCGTAGACATAATCTTTTTTTTAAGACACAAATTACCTTCTCTTTTTAACTCTCATTCATAATTAAAACATACAATTCATCTATTCAAATAATTTTTCATTCTTTAAAACTCCACGTGTAATAAATATAAAACAAACAGTACGAATAAATATTATTAAATAGTTTCTTTTTTAAATTAAATAATCGGTGACACTAACGTCTGGGATGGGAGAGTCTCCAAAAAGCTCATTTTATCAATGAGCTTCTTGGAGACTCTCCCATACCTCGACTTGTTGTACTTCTTGTGGACGACGTTACTCTTGGAGGAGCGGTAGCAGGACTCAATAATGTTTCTGATCATCAAAATACGACAGTGATTAATGTCCTCGTCCTGGAGCTTCTCGTTGGCGTATCCCGAGCGCTAGCGTTTGAAGAAGGTGCAGTGGAGGGTGTTCTCAGGCTCCATCACAAGAGTTATCGCAAGTTCTGCGGCTGTTGCTGACAGGAGGATTGGGCAGGTCTTCATGAGCTCTTCGTCGAAGGGAGCTAGCTCCAGCTGCCGTGAAAAATAATTTATCAATTTTTTTTTTCGTGAACGTAAACACCATAATCAACTCAACCTCAGAACCTTTGAGACGAGGAAACATTTCTATTGAAAAAAAATCGAGCAAAAATTAATGGGAAGTTCAATAGAAATGTAATAGAATTTTCTAGAGAATTCGCTGGGTTTTCTGATCAGCACTAGCATTCAACCCTCCATAATTAGGGGTAAATTCTCGAAATTTGTCCTTTTCCTCCTCGAAGAGCATGAACTCCTCCAGGTAAAGCATCTGCATCTTATCTTTCCTCTCAGTCTCAAGCTTCCTGCGTTTCTCCTCTTCCTCCTCGTGATCCTGAATCGATTTGTGGAGCACTTTGATCTATAATCGCGACAAAACGAGAAGATAAATCATTGTTTTTTGCTCAGGCAAAGAACCATCTTTCAAAATTACACGAATATCCCCTAAACGATTAATTACGGCGATAAATGTCGTAAAATATTTTTTGCAGCTGACAAAAATCCCCATAAAAAACAATTTATGACATTTTCTCTTAAACCTCTTACTGGCTTAGATAATTAGTCGTGAAGATACTTCCCCAAAATTTCTGATCTTACTGAGGAAAGAAAAACATGTTATAATACCACAAATAGCACCTAAACAATTCACTCTAGCAAAGCAAATGTTAATATCTTTTTTGTAGCTGATAAAATTCTCTATACAAAATATTTTATAATATTTTCTCTCAAACCTCTCCATAACCGAGATAATTATGCCTAAAGATGCTTCCCAAAAACTCCTGATCTCATCAACGAAACGAAAAATATGTTTCAAAATACCGCGAATATCACCTACCGAAAAATGCAAGGGTGAAAAGTTCGCTTTGTGCGATTTTTACACAAAACAATTTTGTTTTCAACATGAACAATCCAAAAAAACCAAACAACTCCTACTGGAGTATGTTTCTAGGGACTGCCTCAATCCCATAAAAAGTCCCCATAAAAAGGATACAAATTTCTAATATTCCCCACCGGTTTAAATTCTAAAGTCATACCCCACAAAAACAGTAAACATCACACCCAATAAACCCAAGACCACAAGAGCCCCCAAGGGGGGGATAATCCCCTGAGTTTCTCTACGCCTAACGCTTGGAAGTCAATCCAGTTCACTTTCAATACCCAACGCTTCCTCATCCAAAAATCGCAATCACAATTCAATAAAACCAAAAACCCGCAGAGCCCTCAGATCAAAGCACGTTCATCCCTTCAAGAAATAAAAATCCCCCAACAAAAACCTAAAATTGAGCCACCGAAGGGTTGAGGCACCTCGAAGACATTCAAAAATGTCTCAAAACGCACAGGGGAAGCCCCCCTCCCCCGTGAACCACGGCCGGGATTCGAAGTCCCCGTCCGACAAAGAGAACAAGGAAAACGCGAAGAGTTCGATAATAAGAAGACCGGAGAAGAGTTCGTCGTCGGGTGCCAGTGGGGAGGTGGACGAGAAGATCAGGAAGATGTACGAGCCCACGGGGTGCATACCGAAGCGTTTCGGCAATGTAAATCGTTCCAACGCAGCCCCCAATCACCAGAATATCCTCCAGGGGAGGGCTCAGGGCAACTCCGAGGTCTTCAGCAAGTCCAACTTCTCGATCTTCGATGAGGACGCCGACGAGAGGCTCTCGAAGGAGACCGAGGAGTGGAAGAAGCTCAATCGGAAGGTCCTGGCGTCGTCATCGATGCTCGATGGACAGCTGCCCATGACCACGATCAAGGAGACCTTCACCAGGCCCAAGGAATTCTTCGTGAGACAGGAGTCTGTGGCCAAGGAGGACGTCGACGAGGGCAAGGCCAAGAGGGGGTTCAGGCGCCTCCAGAGAATACAACCGATCGACGAGGCCAGCAAGTCACCGGGACTCGTGGTACCATCGGAGAGGGTCAAGCAAATCATTCAGGAACATTTTGAACCCAGCAAGGTCACGCCGCATGATGTTCCACCACCTTCGCCTAAAAGGGTCAGTGCGGAAGGCTGTTATCTCGACTATCGTGAGGTTTAGGACAAAATGGGATAATATGTTTTTTCTGGGGAATTTTATCGTCTGCAATAGTGATTTTGTGATATTTTTTGGTAGAGTGGATCGTTTAGGCGATATTCGCGGTGTTTTGAAAGATATTTTTCTTTTCGTCGGTGAGATCAAGAGTTTTTGGGAAGCACCTTTAGGCCTAATTATCTCGGTTATGGAGAGGTTTGAGAGAAAATATTATGAAATATTTGTTATAGAGAATTTTATCAGCTACAAAAAAGATATTAACATTTGCTTTGCTAGAGTGGATCGTTTAGGTGCTATTCGTGTTATTATAACATGTTTTTCTTTCCTCAGTAAGATCAGGAGTTTTGAAGAAGTATCTTCACGACTAATTATCTAAGCCAGTAAGAGGTTTAAGAGAAAATGTTATAAATTGTTTTTTATGGGGATTTTTGTCAGCTGCAAAAAAGATTTTACGACATTTATCGCTGCAATTAATCGTTTAAGGGATATTCGTGTAATTTTGAAAGATGGTTCTTTGCCTGAGTAAAAAACAATGATTTATCTTCTCGTTTTGTCGCGATTATAGATCAAAGTGCTCCACAAATCGATTCAGGATCACGAGGAGGAAGAGGAGAAACGTAGGATGCTTGAGGCTGAGAGGAAAGATACGATGCAGATGCTTTATCCGGAGGAGTTCATGCTCTTCGAGGAGGAAAAAGACAAATTTCAGCAATTCATTCCTAATTATCGAGAGTTGAATGCTAGTGTTGATCAGAGGCAAACTGTCGTTAATTTTTTGCTTCATGTGAGCGTAAGTATCTCATCTATGGAAAACCTAGCGAATTCTCTAGACAATTCTATTGCATTTCTCTTAACTTCCCATTGATTTTTGTTCGATTTTTTTTCAATAGAAATGTTTAATGGAAAATATTCTATAAAAAAAATCTATAGAATGTCATTATTCAATAGAGCTTATTCTATTGAGATATTTTCTAATAGAAATTCTTCGGCTAAAAGTTTGTGAGTTGATTTTTTTTTGTTCAATAAAAAGAGGAAATAAGTAGAATGTAAAAGTATTAAAAAATCATTTGAAGCATTTTTTCCAATAGATAAAGTTACGTCGAAAAGTGGAATTCTCTTGATTTGTTGTCTCCGAGCGTTAAAACGTAAAATGATTTCAGAGTCACAACTGCCTTCCCTCCAACATGGTCTACCCGGTTGTCAGAATCTTCGACGACATGCTGCAGGCATGCAGAATTCCCCTCCAGAATCTCCAGCTCATTATGATCTGCGCCCTCTGGATCATCATGAAGAAGGACTACATCGCCTATCGCATCCCCGGGGCCCAGAAGATGGCCAGTTTCTCAAACGGACTCTACACAGATGCCGACGTTCGATCCGGGGAGATTCAGATAATGCAGACGTTGAAGTTCCAGATCAACTATCCAGACCTTTCATCGATGCTCGTTTATTTCATGCTGGCGCTGGATTACTCTGACTTCATAGATGAGGAGCAGAGGGAGACTATCTACTACTTCGGAGGTTACATGGTAATTTTTGTTTACTTTTGATCATGAGATTGATTCCGTCATTTGTTGTTGAATAAATTTATTTTGAAAGCAATGGTCAGGGAGCGGTAAACAAATTTAATGCTGGGGCAATGTCGGCTACCAACATTGGGGCAATTGCTGAAATTTGTCTACCAACATTAATGTTGGTCGCCTGCATTGGAGTGATGTTGATCGGCAACATTAGATCATGTTGGTCGCCAAGGTCGAGTTAATATTGGTCGCCAACGTCGGGGTAATGCCGCCAACATTGAGATAATATCGGCTGCCAACATTGGAGTAATGTTGGTCGTCAACATCGAGGCAATATTGGTCTCCAAAATTGGGGTAATGTTGGCCGCCAATACTGGAGTTGGTGGCCAACATTGGCACATGTTGAATTCAATTTAAAAAAGATCAGCATAGAAATTTCATTCAGAAACAAATTTTCAATTCATTACCAAAAATATATTGATTATGCTCTGACGAAAGCAATTTTCCACACACTTTTATAAATGAATAAATAATTAATCGATCAATTTTCAAGAATGAAATTATTCATCCATCAACTCTACACCTTCCAATAAAAGCAAGTGGGAAATTGCTTTTGTATTGCATAAACTATAGTTCGAAAATCGAAAATTAAACAAATGAATTAATGAATTGAATTTTAATTAATGGCGATGGATAGGGCTCAATAAGATCTACATTTGAGGGAAAAAAAGATTGAATTCCATTGTTTCATTCATACTTACGTACGGGCACGGTCTAAAAATTTCATTTTCGGACTTTTTGGATCATAATGGGTTGATATAACACAAAAAAAGCAAAACTTCAATTTGGTCGATTACAATGCTTCCATTCGAAAGCAAAAATTATGGTGTTTACGTTGAAGAAAAAAATAATTAATAAATTATTTTTCACGTCAGCTGGACCTAGTTCTCTTCGACGAAGAGCTTATGAAGACCTCCCCAATCCTCCTGTCAGCAGCAGCCGCAGAACTAGCGATAACTCTTGTGATGGAGCCTGAGAACACCCTCCACTGCACCTTCTTCAAACGCTGGCGCTCGGGATACGCCAACGAGAAGCTCCAGGACGAGGACATTAATCACTGTCGTATTTTGATGATCAGAAACATCATTGAGTCCTGCTACCGCTCCTCCAAGAGTCACGTCGTCCACAAGAAGTACAATAAGTCGAGGTTTGGGAGAGTCTCCAAGAAGCTCATTGATAAAATCCAGAAGTTAGTCCCACCGATTATTTAATTTAAAAAAGAAACTATTTAATAATATTTATTCGTACTATTTGTTTTATATTTATTACACGTGGAGTTTTTAAGAATGAAAAACTATTTGAATTCTTAATTGAAGGGAAATGAATATATGAATTGTATGGTTTAATTATGAATGAGAGTTAAAAATATGAGGTAATTTGTGTCTTAAAAAACGATTATGACTGTGATTTATTGATGATTAATGTTATTACGGCAGATTTATTTGGATTATATTTTTTAATAAATGAAGGGAGACAGTTATTTTAAAGTAAAAGAATAATTATTACAATATGTTGATTACACTCATAGAAATTATGGGAATGATAAAATATTTACGAACTACTACAATTATGTTTTAAACAATACTCATAAAATAAACGCCGAGATCATCAAATATACTGAACAAAAACTTTAACGTTATTTATTGCAAGAAACATACATTCTTACGAATGGCCATTGTCCGAGGGCCTTCTGCTTAGAATACACTTCTTTTGTACAGTATTAAATTATCTCTATCAGGAGTTGTGTACATGTGGTCCAATGTTGAGGATAATTAGATGTGAGAAAAAGAGAGAAAAAAAAAGAGAAATGAAAATGGTGATGGTGAATATTCATGATCTCGCGGATTTGCGCATAGATTCTGAGAGAGAAAATTTGTTCAGTTAAAATCTTATCCATTTTATTAATGAATAATACTTCTAATAATCATAACACTACTGAACAGATGGAAGCTTGATGAATTTTTTTCTACTTAAGATAATTTGCTTGTAGGTTTGTTACTTTTGTTATATATATTTCTGGTACCATCCCTCGCTCTCTCGTACATTTAATTGAAGCTGTTTGATAAATAAATTGAGAATTCATATTAACAATTCGATTCTCAGAAAGCGTTTGTTCAAATTAAGATCAGGTGGATCGGGTCCGAACCTTATCAATTTTTCTTCAATTTGACTCCATTCAAGTGAAAACCAAATGCATCAAATCCGAATTGGATCAAATTGGGTTTAGGCAGCCTGACCGCAGGATGAGATTATGTCCACTCGATCAGAAGTCGATCCAAGCCCGCCTCCAGATTCTAGGACCCGATCTACTGGATCAAAACTTGGTCAGGTTCTTATCAGGCGTCACATGATCGTGCCCACCTAACCAGAATTTGATCTAAACTCCCCTGCAGTTTTTGGGATCTGATCTACTACACTGTTAAACATTTTCGTCTGAATTTTCCGTGTCAAATTCCAGAAATTATTATCGTGTTCAAGTTCCACTAAAATTTCAGGAAATCTTATAATTGAAAAATCAACTATTCTATTGATTTTCTGTTCGAGTGATCTGGAAATCAATAAAATACTTGATTTTTCAGTTCAATTATTCTGGAAAAATTAATTAAAATCAGGAAAATTCAGGGCAAAAATTGAAAATTCATGTCATTTTGTTTCTGAATATTCATGTTCCACGGAACATTCAATCAAGTTGGCAAATTTCCATCTCACTCCCATTGAAAACTCATGAATTTCCATGAATTCTACTTAAAACTTGAAATCTCATAACAATTTTTCCCTAAATCCGATTCTATGTCACTCTCATGCGATTTACAATAAAATGTTCCATGAAATTTCAAAAAATTTCTAACATTCTAGATTAAAACTTGGTCAGGTTCTAATCAGAAATCACTTGATCAGTCGAACCTAACAAAAACTGGATCAAGTTCTGATCGTACTTCAGTTAGATCTGAAGCAATTTCCACTCGGGTCATTATCCCCGCCCTAGGCGATCGTTTCGATTTTTGTAAAATAATTAAAACGATGAGATTGGGAACTACCGTTTGAAAAATTTGTTCTTCTATTTGAAGAAATTCAATAATTTCAATAATTTCAATAATTGCTTCGTTAAAAATGTGTGAGACATCCCCATTGAGAAATATGAAATAATTAAAAAGGCCACACACGAAACAAGTGCTCACCCCGCTCATGGCTGGTCACAAGGGGGTAGTAAGTCGGATTGCGTCAGCTGTCCGGATTGTACCGAGTGGCCACAACACGTCATGGTGGAAGTGGAAGCGAGAAGGATGATAAGAGAAGTGGGGTGTCGCGTAGTATCGCGGTGGACGAGCTGTCCATGGCGAATGGCGTGCATATAATACGCGGGGGTGGGCCCTAATCCGTGCGCCAGGGGGATCCGAAGCGGCAGATGGCCTCGTCGACGCCAATCAGTTAATTCTACCTCTATGTTAGGCGTATGTGCTTGACACTCGACGCCGGTGCACCCTAGATAATGCGTATGATATTGTTATATTTATATCGTTAGTCTCGGGGTTATCCAATTTAACATTATCAAGAACAGTTGGAATGTTTCCCAGTTTTATGGGGGCATTCGATACGTCCGGAAATTGACCATGGAATTGAAGGGAAGAGCAACCCATTGAAAAAAAACAAATGATTTGATAATTTTTTCATTTCTTTAAAGGAACGGATGTTTTTTATGGCAAAATGTTGTTCTCTTGTCAGTGGGTCATTTGGAAAGTTGGAAGTTGAGTATATCCAAAAAGGGCCAAGTTGAGTTGGCGAATTGATTCAAGTCAACCTCTACTTGACTCAAGTCGACATTCTGATTGATTCAAGTTGACCTCTACATGACTCAAGTCGACACTACTTGATTCAAGTCAACCTATACTTGACTCAAGTCGATGTCTACGTGATTCCAGTCGACACTACTTGATTTACGTCAAACTCTACTTGACTCAAGTCGACATTCTGATTGATTCAAGTTGACCTCTACATGACTCAAGTCGACACTACTTGATTCAAGTCAACCTATACTTGACTCAAGTCGACGTCTACGTGATTCCAGTCGACACTACTTGATTTACGTCAAACTCTACTTGACTCAAGTCGACTTCTACTTGACTCTCCTAGAGTCAATACTCTGTATTTGACTGTTACTCACGTGCTTACCATGAGTCATGAGGGTCAGATTAAGGGTCACAAGGGCAGAAAAAGGTCCAAATAATGGTCACAGCAGTGAGATTAAGGGTCATTTGACTCAGATTAACGGTCGTGGGAGTCGGAACCTAAGGGTCACATGGGTCAAAATACGAGTCTCTATATTATCTCTTTATATTATGAAAATCCGAATCGACTTCTGGTGATGAAAATTTGGTACTCGAAATTAAGAGTCCAAAATTAAGGGTCGGAATTGAAGGGTCAAAATAAGGGCCACGAGAGATATAATGAGGGTCACGAGGGGCAGATTAAGAATCACAAGGGTCAGAATAAGGATCATGCGGGTCATATGGGGGTCCCCCCCATAGTGAACCCCCTAGTTATCGATTATTTTCGCCTCTGGGGGCTTATTCGCGACTTATCTTAACCTTGGAAAGGTCATTTTCCCATAAGACTCTGGGTTATTTCACACTTCTAAGTGAATTATTATCTGCAATACTAGGCTGTCCATTTTGCGTGAATTGCACCTGAATATCTCTATTCATATCATCGACTTGCATTTAAAATTTTCTCTTTAAAAAATCGAAATATGTTGATTCTACTTTAAAAAGATCCAAACAATCAAATAAAATAATCAACAATTGCGATGTTCAAACCCGAATTGAACAATAAAATACTGGTCATCTTTCCCTAAATACCGAATGAAAATAAAAAGTATCACGAATAAATTGGAGATATTTGATTTGAATATTTTTGTAGCCCATTCATATCTACAAATTAATCAATTATAAAAAGTGACAATTTGTGTAATTTTTTGGCACAATGTTGCACCTGCTGGCTCACGGCAAATCTCTCTAGCATCGTCGCGTTACACACTCACCTCGCGTCCTAATAAATTTTATTACCCCCAGCCAAATTGCCATAGTTGGCGAGTCGCCCGATCGTATACACTGCCGATATTCACTGGCAGTAATTGCGATCTCTCTCGTAACGTTCGTTCGGTCGTACGTTAAATTACAGGGGATACCCCCTCCCCTCTGCCGCGCCGCCCAACCCATCCCATCTCATTCCTTCATTTTTGTTCATTTTCATTCTTTGCACATTCTGCCCGCGGGACAATTCTTTGAGCCTCGCTACTGGATAATTTATCGGTTTATTTATTCACGCGAATCAATTTACATTTTTTTCAGCATTTGGGTAAGCTTCAGCTTGACTCGGGGTAAATATTTGACGGCTGACATATGGTTTAGGATTGATTTCAACTCACTGACATGGGTGTGAAGAGAATTCATTGGTTTGGATCAACGGAGGAGAGATTGACCTGTTGAAAAATTTCGGAGAATTGTTCTCCTCATTGAAATTCATGTGATGAATGGAAAATGATTTGAGAGAGATGAATTTGTTGAAAATTCCCAGAATTTTCGGAATGGTGTGAAGCAAGAATCGGCAGTAATGATTACTTTTTATATCTCTCTATATTATAAAAATGAAATTGCTACTAGGGTAGGAGAAGAACGGAGTTGATTTTATAAAAATAACTCTAAAATCAATGGAAAAATTGATTGAAATAAGAAATAATTAAGGAAAAAAAATGTATATAATGAAAATACGAGTAGATAAAATTGAGTTAATCTAATTGTGAAGACGGAAATGGAAATGAAAATAAAATAAAATAGAATAGTATAAAAGAACAATTCTAAAAAGCAGTAGTTTTCCTCCTCCAACAGACGATGTATCTCGAGAAAAGGAGCTTTTTCAATATGTTTATTTGTTTCAATATCTCTGAAACTTCTTTTATCAGCGAAGTTTTCTTCGCACAATAACGAGATAAGTATGTATGTTTAGTCGCCTTCTAGTTATTAACCAATCTTGAATAACCCTAAAAGTAAATCTTGAATAACATCAACATTTATTTTATTCACATGTTTATCTAGATATTTCAAAGAGTGATGTTCACTCCCAGCTCTGGACAGTTGTCTACAGAGAAAATTGTAAAGTCAAAAAAGTATTTATGAAACCATCGATAATCCTTGAACTCTCGAAATAATCAATGCAAATATTAGCCCATGTGTTTGAATCGCGATCCATCTCCCACGTGCCCTCCACACATGTGATATTCTGCAAATTTATGAATTTTCATTGAAATTAATCGTTCAATCGTAAATTTCAAATGGTATAGTTTAACCAAACTGGCGCGAACATCCTCCGATGTGTTGTAATATCTTTGTCAAACAGAAACATCGCGCCGGGAGTGTCAGTGTCGATATATGCAGGGAGCTGGAGAGAGCGGTGGTGCTCGAATTCAACGTGTAGCGATGATGCCCAACGTACACGGTGCCCAGGCCTCAAAGTAATTTGTCAGTCGGGGTGGCGATGTTCAGTGGCAAACAAAGGGCCGCTGTCGGCGTCTACTCGGTTGACAATGACCATGTTCTCTCCCACCCCACCCTTTCTGTTAT